ACCTTGGAAGGGATCAGCTAGAAGTCGTTCGGAAATTCAACTACCTGGGAAGTTGTATCAGCGCCCTTGGGATTGAAGATGAGATCATGAACCGTATAGCAAAAGCTCGAAGCGATTTTGCTAAACGTCGCCACTTATGGCGCCGGCGCGACATCTTTCTCGCCCTGAAGGGTAGAGTGTACAATGCAGCGGTACGTTCGACCCTACTGTACGGCTGTGAAACCTGGCCCCTTAGATCAACGGACATAAAGAGGCTAGTTACGTTCGACAACCGTCGCAACGAGACTGGACCTCAACGTAGTGCGACGGTTTGCGTACCGCATTGACCCATTGAGCTATACTGGGTGATACCTCCGGGCACCTTGAGAGCTACTCCTACCAGGTTGGCCAATGGTGAGAGGTCAGACAAACTCAGTCTCCTGGTCCTCCAGGTTGGGGGTTTGAAATGAGATGGCGTCCATTTCTGTAAAACTAAATCATTACCACCTCCCCGCTGCCTTGCGGACAGGCTTTTGAGCCAAAGGCTTTGGATGAGGACCCTAATCGTCCTCCTGTCTAGGTCTGGGCGCCCTGGCAGTATCCCAGCCCACATACAACCATGACATTTTCTTCAAACATAAACTTCATCCTGCATCGGCCGTCGCACAGATTATCAAGGGTCGCCTTATCTGCTGCATACAGCAGGGCGGATAAGCGAAAACATGCTACCGCTGGTGCCTCCCTTCTTTCTTTTCTACCTTTTTCTCTTACTCCCATCCCGACCCCCATTACTAACCTTCCTTCTATAATTCCCAGCTTAATTGACAGCAACCGAAGTGCCACTGGAGTAGAACCATCTGCAGCCACCATCCCACCGCACCAATCGGACGCCTATCGGCGAAAGTCCCTTATAAGGCCACGCTATCCCGTTTCCATGGCGACATTCAACGTTCGCAAGACAAACAGATAAACAGCCTGCACTCGCACGCACCTTGGACACACTGGGTATTGATGTGTGTTGTGTGTCCGAAACTAGGATCAATGACCCTAACGGGGTTGTTGAATTAACTGCACCCGGCTTATCCTCTCGTTATTGGTTGCATGCACCCGGAGACGCCGATGCAGCACTCACGGGTCAAGCTGGTGTAGGTATCATTCTAAACTCCAAAGCTGAGCCATTGTTGGTTGATTGGATTCCGGTGAACAGCCGTTTATGTGCAGCCCGTTTGACGACATCAGCTAAGGTGGATTCACGAAGTAGTACAAAACGCTGTTTGTTTGTGGTTTCCGCTTATGCTCCCACCGACTGCAGTTCTAATGCTGTCAAAGACACATTCTATCACGAACTGAACGCGCTACTACGCAGTGCTACTAGTTCAGATATTATAGTACTTGCAGGGGATATGAACGCACAAGTAGGACGTCTGAGCTCTTCAGAAGCTTAGCTGGGTGGTAATTGTGGACTTAACTCCGAACGGACTGACAACGGTGAGCGTCTGCTTCAACTGTGTGCGGAGCACCAGTTGTTTCTTAGTAGCAATGCTTTTAGACACAGTGGGCGCCGAAGTGTCACTTGGCGTCCTCCAGTAGCTGGCCAGCGATGGACCCAAATTGACCACATAGCCATAAGTTACAGATGGCGTGGTTCCATCCTGGATTGCCGCTCATACTGGAGTACCTGTGTCGACTCTGATCATGCCTTGGTACGCTGTCACTTCTCCATGAACTTTACCGGGAGGCGCACCAAGCGTCCCTTACGATTGGCAACGGAGAAATTGTCTCAGTCCTCGGTCAGACAAGCCTATCAAGAAGCACTGCATACCGAACTTTCGCTGTCTTGTCCTAATGACACTGAGCTTCAGTGGAATAGGATCTCGGCCGCCATGCACGACGCAGGAGCATCTGCTTGTGGCACTATCCATCGTCACCGCACCAGTCACTGGATATCCGAGAGGTCAGTGAACCTGTTGGAATCTAGAAGACACCTCTCGGCTGGCTCTGAACACAGTGTGACCAGACGGGCTATTAGGCGTGAACTAAAGCAGAGCCTACGTGCTGACAAGGAAGCCTGGTGGACTAGTAGGGCTCAAGATATGGAGGAGGCAGGAGCAATTGGCAATTACCGCAAGCTCTTCCAGCTAATCCTCACCACTGGTCCCAGAAAACCAAGCGTCAGTGAGACAATCAGAGACAGCGCGGATACACAATAAGAAGCGCCGTATGGCTCGTTGGGCGGAACACTTTCAAGATCAGTTCAGCTGGCCCCTGCTCCCGGACCTCTTCCTACTCAGGTGATGCAGGACGAGCCATGGACGGTTAGTTTAGAGCCTCCGTCGGAGGCCGAGTTCCGAAACGCGATCACAGCCCTTAATCGTTTTCGTGCCGCTGGCCCGGATTCCCTCCCACCTGCACTATTTAAGGATGTAAGTGAGGTCCTCTGCAAAGCACTGACCTCCATATTCGAACGTATCTGGAAGGAAAACAGTGTCCCGGCTAATTGGAGCGAATCGATTATAGTGGCAATATACAAGAAGGGCAGTCGCACAGACTGTTCTAACCACAGAGGTATTAGCCTAACGCCAGTTGTGACAAAATTACTGGCCTCGATTCTCGTTCGTCGCCTCACTGCGGAACGGGAATCTCGGATTAGGGAAGAGCAGGCCGGTTTTCGCCCAGGACGTGGCTGTATAGACCATATATTCCCTTTGCGGCAGGTGCTAGAGCAGCACCACGCATACCGCAGACCGACAATAGCTGTGTTCCTCGATTTCAAGAGTGCGTTCGATTCAGTCGATCGATCGATTCTGTTCGAAATACTTGCGCGGAAAGGTGTCCCCACGAAATATGTGAACATCCTTCGTGCTCTATACTCGAACACTACAGGCCGCGTCAGGGTCTACGGTGTCCTATCAGATAGCTTTCCGACCACAAGTGGCGTTCGTCAAGGTTGTCCGATTTCCCCATTTTCGTTCAATTTCGTCGTGGATTCTATCATGGAGTGTTCCCTTGCGGAATCTCACGATGTAGGCGTTGAAGTGCTGCCTGGTGAAAGGTTAGTTGATCTAGCTTATGCGGACGATATCGTCTTGCTTTTCGACAATGTTGGGGCGGCCCAATCAACCCTGAATAGCCTGTCAAGAGTGGTCCCATTATTTGGTATGCACTTCGCACCTTCAAAGTGCAAAGTGTTGCTGCAGGACCACCAGCCACTTGATGACCCCTTGACGCTTGCTAACGAGGAACTCGAGGTGGTTGATCAATTCACTTATCTTGGCAGCTGCATCAGCAATGATGGGCGCATAGAAACTGACGTCAGCTCACGCACTGCAAAAGCCAGAGCTGCCTTCTTGAACCTGCAGCATCTTTGGCGACAGAAGGGAGTTTCCCTACGTCTGAAAGGCCGCGTATACAAGGCCACAGTGAGGGCCGTTCTGCTCTATGGTAGTGAGACTTGGCCCCTTCGGTCTGAAGATCTGAGGCGCCTTCAAATCTTTGATCATCGTTGTCTGCGAAGCATTGCTGGAGTCGGATGGCACCAGCGTGTCCGCAACGATGATGTGCGTAGGCGAGTACTAGGTAGTGATAAGCATGCTAGCTCCCTAGAACAACAGATAGCACTGAATAAGTTGCGTTGGCTCGGGCACGTGCTACGTATGCCTGGTCACCGCTTACCTAGGAGGGCCTTGTTTAGTCTGCCAGGTGTAGGGTGGCGTAAGGCTCGAGGTGGACAGAAGTTGACTTGGCAGCGGGAAATGAAGTCACTGACGACCAAACTGGGTGCCGTTGGTCCGTCTCGCCTTCCGGGCTGGAGTCCACGTGACTCACCTTGTGCTTGGCTCGAGACTTTACAGGACATGGCTCGCAACCGACACCAGTGGCGCGTCTGCTGCCGTCTCCTAATCGGATTGCCTGTTTAAAGTGTGTTTGGTGCTGAGTTATCTGCGGGGTAATGAGCTGATTATGACGCGTGGCAGTGAAAGCCGCAAGGAAGCTGTCTCGCTGATGCCGCCTTATCTTTGCACGACAGCCAGCTGTTTGTGACGGTATGTTGTCTACACAAGGCGTAGGCCCTTGACCCTGAGTGTTTGCTTAGGGCATTAAGGTTTTCAGGTAAGTCCCCCTTCTCTCCCACTTCTTATTCTTTATTTCATAGGTCCTCATGGTTGTATGGCGGTGAAGCATCAGTTCAAATGGCTAATGTATTGCTATTGATGATGATACGTTCGACAACCGATGCCTTCGCAGTTTGGCTCACATCTGGTGGGAACAGTGAGTGCGCAACGAGCGCGCTCGACGCCTTGTCTACGGCACAGAAAAAGTAACTGAACCGCTCAGCACCGTCATTTCACGCACCAGGCTCCGATGGCTCGGCCACGTGTTATGCATGCCAGCCCACCGACTCCCGCGACGTGCATTGTTTGCGCGCCGGGGGTGTGGATAGAAGAAGAGGAGGGGTGGCCAAGCGATGACTTGGTCGAGAGGAATGAAGGCCCTCACTTCGAAGCAGGCTTCGGTTGGGGCGTCTCGGCTCCCTGGTTGGGGTCCGAAAGACGATGAACACGTTTGGCTGGATACACTTGTTGATATGGCTAGGAGCCGACCTCAGTGGCGTTCGTGCTGCGAGTTCCTTTGTCCCACCCCATCCCTCTTAGCCTCCCCTCCAACTACGATCTCACTATTTAGCCTTATACAATTTTGCGTAGTAATTTTTATTTTGCTGCATAGTAGCCGGAACGAAGCCCATCCGTTACCGATAGCTCAGCTGGCTTGCACCTGTTGCATTCTATTCCCTTTTTTCTTTTATGTTTCGCGGCACAGTAGCTGAGGTGTTTCCCACCTCTAGCTAACGTGTATAATGATGATGAACACTGTGAACGTGCAGTTCACTGAAAAGCGACGGCACGAGGAGGACCGTATGCTCACCATTCCGTGAAAATGAAGAGCAGAATAATGAAAACGTATGAGGAGGGAGAGGATTGGAAGCAGGTTGCTAGTATGCTTAACGTAAACGTGAAAACCAGTTTTACGACATCGCAAACACATTTATTAACTTAATCGTCAACCCACATAGGGACTGAAGTACAGCCATCGACTGACTCTGAACGTCAAGCTACGGAGCCCAAAGTGTTATCACTACACATTCCTGTGGAAGTTAGATCAAGAAAGTGGACCGACGTATATAATATGAAAAAGACAGTCGTTTCAGGTGGCCGCCCAATGTAGTAGGGCTGTGATGAAGCAAGCAGTTATGTACAAAGGATAGGAAAAAATGAAACGGATAAAGATGTCAGACTTTGAATATAAAGGTGACCGAGTAACAAAATGATTGTAAGATCGATTTCGAATGGCGCATTCGCCAAAGGAATTCGTCTAAACGGGCTTCAAACTCGTCTGCTCGAGTTCCATTGAGGCTTTCAAAACTTCGTTTCCAATGCGACCATTGGCCGGTAATCTTTTGTATATGTACAGCACTTTGATCAGGACACACGATGCCTTTGGTTCGATCAGTTACGTAGTGTTGGTAGCCTTCGGGGAGTCGTCCAAGGGAAGCATAACCCTCCCATTCATCTGTGATGATTGCTGTCTCAGGCTGAAAAAATCAGTATAGACGAAGAGCATTAGAAAAATGTAACGTACCTTTACAAAGTCCCTGATAATCGGAATAAGGCTGGAGGCGTCCCGAGCATTTTTTGGACATCTAGTCAGGAAGACACGTTCAGTACCTCGTTCCACTCCACCGAGAAGCCAAATCTTTCGCAAAATGGGACCCGATTTTGGGTCACGCAACCAACAGCTGAACATAGATTCATCAACTTCCACTACTCGGCAGTAACCCGGCTCGTTGCCGTTACCCTCGACTTCAATGCCACCGATTCGCTCCCTTATGGATGTGTTGGTCTAGGAATGGTTCAGAGAAGAAGAGCGCATGAAATGTTAGAGAAAAGTCATACCTCACGACATACTTCTCTGATACAATGCAACCAATCATCTGCATCTTGTGTTGATGTACCTGCGTCAAACGCAATGAGTTCTTCAGGATGTCCTACACTCCAAAGGAATAGAATCTGCGTAGCTATCTTGATCGGAAGATTAGAGTGGGCAAATATACTCTGGTGGCGGATAGACCGTCTTCTACGACAGTGACCACAGTGCCAACTCCATCCGTCCATATTGGCGCGGTCAGGTGTGAGAAACAGTGGAGAATCACAACCAGATTTGTTGCAACGCATCTGATTCGAAATGAGGCGGCGCCGAGCCAGCCAACACAAAAGGCGAGCGTCGTCATTGATGAGATGATAAAAATCGAGTAGGCGAAGAGTAGGCTCATTCAACCAATCACCTTGACAAGAGTACACATGATCGCAAATGGCACGAGCTTTAGTGCGATTCCCGTGCTCCACCGTGGTAGCACTAAGGCATAGTACATGAAGATCGAGATGTAACATACCTGTGATTCGGAGGAGCCAAGTTTTCAACTAGGCCACATAAGAGTCTTTGCTCCATCCGTAAGACAAGTCCTTGGCGACGAGGGGCTCTGTGAGGAAGGAGGTCACAGACGGTAGTGAAAGTGTACTACCTGACTGATGACCGTTTAGGCGGCACCGGGAGGGCATGGTCATCTACAGTGCTGAGAATGATGGAGATGTATACTACAACATGTGAGAAACATACTCTGAAGGAGCGTTCATAGTAGCTGTACATGAATCCACGATAGAAAAGTCCCCTGAGTCATCGTTAACACCCGAGGAAATAGGAGACCCGCCGACTAAATCTGACTCAAAAGACTCCAGAAATGTGGAACATCGAGAAGTGCCTCTACGAAAATAAAAGGGAGAAGATTGCATATAGATTGGTTTAATTCTGTATACTATCCCATGGCTAAAGTGTCAGTAGTATCTTATTTTCAATCGGCCGCGGCCATCAACAAACGCATCTAGACAGTTGACCTAAGAGGTGAAGTAAACAGGAGCCACGGGAAAGATGCCCCGGTACAGAGAGTAGTGTGCTTACCTGAAACAGTAACATAAGTACCTTAGTTGGAGCAGATCGTAGAGCCTGGATAAAATGTTCTGCTGACCACCACCACATTCTAAAAGGGCGGACATGTGTAGGGAGATCTCAAAGCACAAGTAATTGTTCAACTACCAGTCAACCGGTGCATCAGGGTCTGGTGAAAGTACCGAAAAACGCTTCTTTTGGACGCATTATGTGATTGAAATCAACCAGTTTCATCACAGTAGCGACCTGCTGAGACAAGCAAAGGTCATTGCTGCTTACAAACCGAAATGGTCGCTCCATAATTCGGAACAAAACTTATCTGTCGGGAAATTCATTTATTTATCCATAAGTAGACTGTGGTTTGGACACTAAACTGCGGCGCATTTGGTCGGCATGATTAAAGTTCCCACAAAGACATTAAGTACAACATCAATAAAACGCACGCAAGAAGAAGAGTAGACCAATATATAGGAAGTCATATGGAGTATTAAAGCAAACGGATCAACTGAGAGAGTATCGCTGAGTACGGTAGTTCCGGTATGGCTTCGACCATTGGTGCAAACGAGTCCGAGGTCCCCAACAGATGGATCCAATCTCTCGGCAGATCATTTCAAGCCATCAATCGGCCACCCAGGGATTCACTCAATCACCAACTGCAGCAATAGGGATCAGCGCACACCGAAGCATGCACGCGAAGGATATGACTTATCCGACGTAGGCGATTAGAGCTCCACTGCAACCCACCGGAGGATCACTATCCGAATACTAAACAGCGGACTTGGGTATTGCTCTCTATCGGTACGCACGCCAGACGAGCAATATACAGAAAGCGTAGGCGATCAAGGACGACCAAGTTCCTAATGTGATCCGCGCGCAGCGGCCATGTTTCCGAGTCATGCATCAACACTGAACATACCGGAGAGTTGCACATTCACCTGTGACCAGTAGGCCGAAACATTGATATATGCGTAGACTTTGGGGACCTTGAAAAGCCACGAGAATCTCGCTGATATGTGATGTATACACGGCGAATTGACCATCGAGGGCAATACATCAATTATTGAGCGGTGGTAGTGATAAATGGTTGTGCGTCAGCCCAGTACTACAAAAGCGCATTGCATTCCGAGGGGGTGCATGAGATGCAGAAGCGTACAGGACCCTAGAGCAACCTATTTAAAAGTACATGTACTGCTGAAAGGTTCGAACCAAGGACAGCTCCGTGGGCTGCATACTTTAAGCTTGTCGGATGGCTACACAGTAGAACTTTTTTAATAAACGGACCGAATGAGCTTGATGCGATGGAATGTAGCTTATGAATGTTCGAGTCAAATGCGCAAATTTATTGCATCCGAATGGAACTCAATCTAAGAGGAAGTTCAGCTCCATAGGCGAAAAGCATTTGACACTTTGATTCCTATAAAACAAGAATCCTGTTGAGACAGATACACTTCTGTTCCGGCTAGCCTCGTTGTTCTCACCATCGGAGTAATCGGAAGCAGTACGGTACATAAGTAGCGATAGGGCGATGCAATCTAACTGGCGATGGGGATGCCGAAGAATCACCTCTTCAGCAGAAGCAAGTGCAGTTTGACAAATCGAAGCAGCAATTGAATGAGGTGCGGGCGAAAAAGCAGAATTGTAACAGGACCCGCTGCTGACATTGCAGTTGAATGCCTCGGGGATGTTCAACTTGAAGCATGAAATAAAAATGGTTGAAAACTCGGATTCCAGAAGAAGGTACATTCCAGTCGCCCAGCTAATCGCTGTCAAAATGTTAACATAAATGTATCCAAATAGAAGCTCCGACAGCGTTTTGGAACTGTAGAGAGTGGCATTTTGAGAGAGATCGTGAGAACAAAACTAATCAATGTCAAAAATGTAAGTAATTTGCTCAAAAACCTGCCGCCGAGCAGTGCACAACTTCAGATGCCTTCTTACTCCAAGGTTTCCAGCAAGTTTCAAGTTCAAAAGGAACATATTTCAGGGTGCGAGGAAGAAGGCTATTCGTGCCGCACTTCTCACACATGATACCCAAGCAAAGGAAAATAACTAATCATGAAATCCAACGATGTTCCGGTATTGTTGCAGCCAGATATGAAGGCTGATATCACAATTATTTCTTGATCCACATGGATCAAACCTGACAGAACGTTAGTCGAGCATAAAAGCGAACGGTCTAAGGGGCCCGGATTCCCTCCAACATGCAGCGGCTTTCATCTCAGCAGCTCATTTTGACCACCAGGATATAGGGTAAGGGCGAAGGCTTGAGTTCAGCTGTTGAGAGATTGACAGAGTTCATTGTACTCCGCACTCGTGGGCACAGCCCGTCGACGATCTAGCAGTTCCGAGGATGTTACCGATGTCAAGCTTTTGGCTGTGTAACGGGTGAGGCCGTAGCTGGACAAGCTGGCGGATATCATGACTTGTTGCAAACTTGAGCAGTGTTAATCGACATCCAAGGAAGAGAGAGTGGGGAATTTCACGAAGCATCTGTTGATACTGCGTATTCGCTGTTGGATCATCCAACTCGTGAGTGTTCAGTCAGGTTTGTTTGGCCTTGGGTGAGCCACCGAAAGGCATGCAAACTGTCGCATACGCCAATGCATGATCGGCTTCAACGCACGTTGACCAAAATGATCTGCAATCGCGTACACTGCCGTGCCACCTGCAACTAGTAGTTATGTGATCAATTGGTAACCAGCGCTGGGTTGATGATGGAGGACGCCAAGAGGCATGGTGACGTCCTGGGTGACGAAAGCTCGTACTAAAGAGGAAACGTTGGTGGTCAGCACATAGAATGAGCAGTATCTCTCTGTTTTCAGAGCGAATATCATCATACCTCTGCGGTCCACCGAGGTGGCGTTCACATGGTAGCAGCCGACCGATCGTGCGTTTAAGTTTCCTCCCATTATGATGATGTCTATTTTAGGCGCCCTTAAAAGTACTCACGTAGGTGTTGATAGAACTGGCCCTTGAATGTATCCGAGCTGCAGTCAGTGGGCGTGTAGGTGGAGATCACAAAAAAGCACACTTGTTTAATCGATGTCTGCTAACCTTGCAGGAGCAACGGAGCCTCATAGCGCAAAGGCGACTGTTGTTTGGAATCCAATCAAGGAGGGTGGAAACAGCTCTGGCACTGAGGGCGATTCCAACACCAGCTTGCCCAGATGCGGTGGACTCAACGTCACCGAAAAGGCGAAAATAGAAGCGGCTGTGTGGTTGGAATGGTGACGACAGTTGGTAAACTGTGTTGGAATCCGGAAATTGTGTTTCACTCAGGCAGCAGACATTGACTGTAAGGATCGCCAGTGTGCGTGCAAGTCCAGCTTGCTGCCTGATCTGCAATAGTGTGCGCACGTTAAAGGTTGCCAGTTTGAAATGCATTCCAGGGTGCAGTAGCGAAGATGGCAGACTTCGGGGCTGGCAGCTGCTTGTCGAGGACTGTGTGGTTGCGGTGACGGATGGTAAGAGAAAAACTTCATCGGCGAAGATAGGGTTGTTCACCATTGAAGAATCAAGTACTGAAGGGGATGAGTGATACAAGGGAAGGGTAGGTGAATTGGTGGCGTGTTTGTAAAGTTAGCGTAGTAGCATGGCAATGGATCGTCACGAGAGCAGAAGAGAGTAAACGTAGTTGTGGGGTTCCATGGTTCGTCAGCAAGAGAGATACTACCCGGTTGTCTAGGCCGAAGTAGGTGGGTTATCTTAGGGGACCACCGCCCCGAGCCTTTGGTCAAAGGGCCAAAAGTACAAGGCAGCAAAGCGAGATAAGGTTTCGCACCCGTAGGCAGCTGGTGACTGAACGTTCAGTACATACCCCTATCGGATGGCGAAAAGCCATTCCAGGGGCCCAACTCATGAAGTCAAAGGCAGAATCCGACGCTCTGATTATTTGTGTACAATATCTCCGAGAAAGACAAGGGGCAGTGAGTTTATTTAGTAGCGAGTCATATCCGTCACGTCGTAGTGTTGTTAAACAGACACTTGTAGCTTTTAATAGGGAAAACGCTTGCCAGGCGTAAACCTACCACGTACCGCAACACTGCCGTCGAACCATTCGCCGGAAGGGGAAATACTCGAACCGCCTACCCGGCACCACATGATTGTTCGGAAAGTCAGGACTGGGGAGAATCGACGGCTGCATACCTCTACCGCTAAAGGTGTCTGCTGTACCAGTGGCCTTGCCTGATTAAAAGGGAACAATGGCGCTGCGCGTAAGATTTGCCCAAGAATTGGAGCGCATAGATGCACTCGGCGTTATAACCAAGGTTGACGAATCCGCAGACTGGGTCACCCAGGTGGCGCCTGTTACTAAAAAGTCCGGAGTTTTAAGGGTATGTATCGATCCAAAACCGATAAACGCCGCCCTTAGAAGAGAGCACTACAGCCTACCGAGATTAGATGAGATATAGAGAGTTCAATCAACGTCAACGTTCTTCACAAAGGTTGGTCTGGCTTCCGGGTTTTGATATGTCGTGTTGGATGACGAATCGAGCTATCTGGCGGCGCTTGGCACACCATTCGGGCGATTCCGGTAGCTACGTTTATCATCCGGTTTGAAAGTCAACAGTGAAATATTCCAAAAACGTCTATTACAAGTGCTAGAAGATTTGCCAGGAACCATTTGTGTGGCTGACGACGTGCTGACGTTCGGCTCCACTATAGAAGAGCACGACAGCAACCTTAAGCGGTTTCTCAAGAGATGCGCTGACACAAACTATTAAACTGAAACTTGACAAAGTTGAACTTTGAAAACCAGAGGTAGTATTTCACGGACACGTTATGAGCTCCGATGGATTGAGCCCTGATCCAGAAAAG